AAAAAGTGTACAACGCCGCTAAAGAAGTTTTCACTTTAAAAAAAATGACTTTTAAATTTGATCAAGTCTTTCTCAAATTAAGGCGTAACCAAGGTTAACATGATATGATTTATTTAGACACTAGCTGACCCAGCGAACTTCGTACCGCCCTAAAAAAATAGGGGTTGTCCAGCGGACAAAATTGTGAATCTAAACCATTCTCAGATACCCTTGAACACACACAAAAAATTTCATCAAAATCGGTCCAGTCGTTTAAGAGAAGTTCAGTGACATAAACACTCACAGAAGAATTATATATATAAAGATAGGTATATGATTTTTGGTTACCCATCCCTCAGTCAACCAAATCGAAAATGGCTCAATGTTTGTTGTCGCTTTTTCTTGAGCTCCACTGGGTGTCACAGTAAGATTCCACCGTATCGACACGCTACAGTCGACGAGCCTTGACCTATCAATTAGCAGACTTAACTAAGTAGGTGAAGTTCATTAAGTTAGGTCACTTGTTGGTTCAATAGTTGCAAAAAGGCCGAGGAAAGTTGGAATCAATTTGAAAAAAAAATGTATGCACAGTACCCTTAGTACGAGTTTGAGCTCACGAAAACTATCATAGTTTTCGTTTTTGTAAATTATGTTTCTATGCCCATTATCGTGAAAAGTAACCAAACATACTCATAATTTAAGAAGACGTAAATGATTTAATGATAGAATTTAAACACTGTTTATTTGTATTGAAACGAAAACAATAAAATCAGTACCCTTAGTACGAGTGCGAGCTCACGAAAACCATCATAGTTTTCGTAATTGTAAAACTCGTACTAACGGTACAGATCACACATCTGATGTGAAACTTCTTTTCTTAAATAACCTAGTTAGGTTATTAGGCGGTGCGAGACATAGGGTAATGGAGCAGAGCACGCATTACTCATACCAGGTCACTCAGAAAGTTTTGCGAAAAAAAAAATGGGTGCGTGTACTTATGTAGGCGCGTGAGAAGTTATCCTTCTTTGGCATCGTTTAAAATTAGTTTTTAATTGCATGCAAATAATTAATTACAATAAATTAATAAAAAGTCTGGAAAATGACACAGTCAATAAAGTTCAGTTTTAATTTGAAACAATAAATAAATAATCAAAATATTCAATTAAAATCGCTACTGAATATAATTTATTAGAACATATGTGATTTGCACTTGTATGAAACTCAAACACGTATTCCGAATATACAAACTAGAAACATGTGGATAAATATTATAAATATGAATATCTATAACTGTTACTTTATTACAAAAAATAAAGATGTGGTTTTTGGTTCTACTACACCAATGGTCAAGAGATGGCGCTGTAGTCTCCTGAATCGCGCTTTGGTTCCGTTGTTCCAGATTAATAAATACTTTTGATAGGCCTTCACAATGCAGTCGTTAGCACCCACTAAATAGAGATTCTATTTCTATTTTGTTGGTAGATTTTCTTAATGTGCGGTAAACACGAAAGTAATTTTTGTGTTACAGTGATGCGCGCGCATCTTAAAATTTCACTCTCATCATTTTTTCATAACGCGCCTAAAGAAGTATAACTTCAAAAGATTTTATGTATAAGACATTGACCATTTGTAATTATTTTGAAAACTTCGATTATTTAAAAATAAAAATACCACTGTTCAATTTTCAAATTGCCAATTAAATTTTTCTTGTCTCATTAGAAAATGGATCTATATCGAGAACATTTTCGATTTTGCACGAGCACCTTTGCGTAAGGATGCTCAGAAGCACGTCCGTGTGAATTGGTGCAGTGATGTGATACAAAAATTTGATGTAGGCTCGTCACGGCGCGTTTACGATATTGTAATAGGTGACGATGTGAATCATGAATTTATCGATACGATCCAGAAACAAAGCGTTCGTCGACAGTTTGGCTGTTTCAAAATGAACCAACGCCTACGAAAGTGAAGCGATCGAGGAGCGCAGGGAAAATTTTCTTCACTTTGACGAGGTACCTAATTTCAATTCCACTTCGAGACCAAAGGAGCATCAAGCCTGCCAGAAGTTTTTTCTGCAATAAGCAACAAGCGACCCAACACCGGGCTCCGCGGGGTCCTTCTTCACCACGACAACGCGCCCGCGCACTCTGCGATCAAAACGCAGGACTTCCTGGACTCCACACCAGTCAGAGAATTGGGTCACCCTCCTTACAGTCCTGATTTGGCTCCATGCGACTTCTTTTTATTCCCTAAAATAAAAAAAAAAACAGCTAAAAGGGATACAGTTTTCGTCGCCGGAAGAAGCGCTAGCAGCGTTTGAGAAGGACGTGGAAGAGGTGTCTGAGGAGGACTGAAAAAATGCTTTTGAAAATTGGTTACACATGAAACTTTGTATAGAGGCTGGTGGAGAGTTGATTGAAATATTTTTTTCATAGAAGTTAGTTTTTTGTTTCTCAAAACTTTCTGAGTCTGCGTCCCACGGGTTTGTCACAAGGATGGAAAGTATATTAAATATTGAAGATAGGATGTTTTATTGAAAGAAGACATCATTTTATATATAATATAAATGCTGAATTGTTGAATGTGTTGCTAAGCGCAAATCTCGAGAACAGCTGAACCGACTTCGATAATTCTTTTTTTAGAATATTTCTTGAAGTACGAGGGTGGTTCTTACGCAGAGAAAAATAAAAAAAAATGCCTTAAAAGTCCAAATACAACACATTTCTATACTCCCATACAAACGATTCGTAATAATACTTGGAAGTCAATTTGAACTTTAATACCATACCATAAATTTCAAATGTTAGTGGAAAGGTTCAGGGAAGACAAAACAATATAGTGACGTGATATCAATAGAAGTTTGGAAAAGGCAAATATACCATTTTCAGAGTTCTTTTTTATACTTATATGATGAGGCATTTTAGTCTACACTACAGCTCTACACCGAAGCGAAGCGAGGGCGGGCTACTATTTTTAATAATAACCAGAACTGAAACTAACATTCACAGATTTTTATAAAATCGCCTGCTACAACTGGGAATAAAACTCGTGAGCTTTCCCCTCCGCGTTTTGTTCAGCGCTAGAGTTACGTGCCGCGACCTGGAGCTCTATTTTTGAATCACTCGTCTTGCGTCGAACGCTCGATTTCTACTAAATTTCATTCGACATAATTAATTCCGTATTTTTGAGTGCAACGAATGGGTGAGACCACTCGCTGCAGGGCGAACGGTGGAGGCGAATGATAGAATAATTGTCAAATTTTTTGTGCTATTAAACGACGATATTCTATCATTGTCATGCTTTATATGATATGACAACGAGAATTTTTTGTTCGGTTTTCATTGCGGTAATTATCGGTTTTTATTTTTTCTGCGTGAAATGAGTATAATTTCATATTTCGTATTAAACAGGTAACACCGGTGACGAGTGATTCAAAAATACGGAAAATCAGTATTATGCGACTTGAAAGTCGAAGGTGACTTATGTCGCATTCGACGATACTATGTCAGACGAGTGATTCAAAAATAGAGCTCCTGTACTTCGTCGCAAGTTGTTCGGGCTTGGGGTACTGTACCCTTAGCACGAACCACTAACGAATAAAAACAGTTTGCGAGTGCGAAATTTCATTGCCAAATTTTGTATGGAATCATGAACAGAGGCTCCACAACGGAAGTAACGAGAACTAAAAATCAGTACACATTTGACAATGACATTTCGTACTCGCGAATTATTTGAATACGATATTGGTTCGTGCTAGGGTACAGGTCTTTTTTTTATGTTATAGGGGACATACGAGCAGACGGTTCACCTGATGGTAAGTGATCACCTTTGCCCATGGACACTTGCAACACCAGGAGTATCACAAATGCGATGCCGGCCTTTAAGGAAGGAGTACGCTCTTTTTTTGAAGGTTTTTGGGTCGTATTGGTCCGGAAACACTGCTGGCGACAATATATTCCACAGTTTTGTCGTACGTGGTAAAAAATTTCGACAAAAACGCACGGTTGTGGATAGCCACGCATCAAGATGATGGGGATGAAATTTTTGTCGCGATGTACGATGGCGAAATGCAGCAGCTGGAATTAATCCGAACAATTCCTCAGAACACTCCCCGTGATAAATGCCATAGGTCACATAAATATATCTACTGATGATGTTTTTTTTTAATCTTAAGAGTACGACATTTGAAATAGGTATGTATTGCATCATTATCATCATTAGCCTATTAATGTCCCCACTGCTGAGGCACAGGCCTTCCCTATGGATGGAATAGAGAGATTAGGCCATGACCCACCACGCGGACCCAGTGCGGATTAGCGGGTGCTCACGACGCCTTTCGAAGCACGGAGGAACTCGGGATAGACGATTTTTGGTGACCCATCCAATGACCGACCACTGCGAAAGTTGCTTAACTTCAACGATCGCAGCCGAACGCGCTAACCATCTGCGCCATCGTGCTCCTCACATACATTTATCTTTAGAATTTAATATTTGCAAAAATCAAAAATGCTTGTAAAAAAATTACTTAATTTGAAATATGACGTGTTTTTTTTACAATTAGGTATAAAGCTAGTTAATGTGTCGTTGTTTCTGCATTTGACAACTTAAAAACAGCTTCTTTATTGTTTTTCGGGGTCATAGCAACGGCTATGATGTTGAGTAAATTTAAATTGAAAAGCAATATTTATCATAGTAAAACAATAATTTACTTTTATTTTTTAATAAAAACTCATAATAAACGAGTTCCTGTAACTTACAAAAACTGAGTAGCATCATTATTATTCGATCTTAAGAAGGTTTTAAATCTCAAAATGTTAACTATCAAAAAAATATGAACGAACAAAAATATGAAGCATTTAATAATACCAGGAACACTAAACCACTTTTGATAACCAAAATACGTGGACCTCAAAACGCGTAAAGCACACTAACAAAAACTAGAACAATCGAGTGTCTATTTAATTTGGCCGGTTTGTCGGTAATGGTGAATTACATTGATATAACTAAACAGTTTAAAAAGCAAGGTTACACAAAACGCTCGTTCAGTACTATTGCGCGCGGCAACCGCTGCGTACGCCTTTGAAATACACAAGTAATTATACGTACTAAGTACGTTATTAGTACTTGTTGTTAGTGTAAAAAAATAAACGTTATTTTATTGGTACAGAGATTAGAGTAATCGAACGTTAAAATAGAATTACGATAATTTGGTACCATTGGAATACGGTGGACTTGGTTGTGCAGTGGTTGATCGTCTGTTCCAGTTTTCGACGTTCGATTTTCGAAAAGGGAACGGTGGTATGTGTTTTCTTTTTAATTTTGCATATTATGTGCGTATGTATGGAATACTTCTTTGTTTGAATTTTGGGTGCGATTCTGATAAGAAAGGCCGGCAAAAAGTAAGTTGGTAAAAAGAAAGTTTCATTTAAAATGTTAGGCGAAATTTGAAAAATATAATTAAACAAACGAATTAAGAATGTACATTTTGTAAATTGATGTACTTTTTGTTTGAAAAAGGAAATACAATCGATCAAAAAAATCAAAACAAAAATGTTTTAATTACCTACATTTAATTGTTACATCAAAAGATGCGAAGATAAAAATATTATGTGGGTAACAAACTTACAATGTCAAGTTACAGGGTTGGGTTTAGGCAACCGTAAATTGTTCGTTGCCGTAAAAACTATTGTGTAGTTATTAAATAATATTAACAACACTGGCGAACAACGAATAATCGTTTCTTTCATGTTGTTTTTTAATTCAATATTTTATCCATTGCGTGCAAACGAAAAAAAGAACTTCCTCATGAAAAAGTTTGATGTTTCAAAGGCTGTATACATACACCTATGTTTTATTAGTTATTCTGTAGGAATAAAACTCGAATAAAACTCACTATTCACGCCTCGGATTCCGAGGTGTGATTAAAAATACGAACGCGAATTTCAAATCACACCGGCGAGAGTTTTTGGCGCGATTTCATCGAGTGCGGTTGGCGTCTTATTTTAATTAATCTTAAATTCGTTCATTAGTGGATATTGTGAAATAAAATTGGTGTGATTTTGTGTTACAACCGTCTGCGCAACTGAAGAATTAATGAAATCTTTAAAATATACGCTGTTCCGGTCAAGTGGACGTGAGAACTTTATTGTAGTGTTGGCTACCTCACAGAAGCTTATCGAAAAAGTCAACTCGATACATTTCATGCCAAACATTTCAAGAAACATTTGAATGCGTCACACCGACATTATAATGTAAACAAAAAAGAAGATTAATATAACGTAAGACTAGGCTGTATGGGCATTGTTCCCTTTGCATTCCCTAAAAAGAGAGAATCTTAAAAAAAGTCACACCGGCGAATTCCGCGTTGAAAAATGAGTTTGGACTTGCTTACAGATTAACAGCAGTACTGAAAAAGCATTTTGCGCGGCAAACCTAAAAGTTATCTGCAGACTATAATTTTTACATTTTTTAGCAAAAATATTAGTTTTCGTTGTGACCGTGATTTTATTTCCTTGTTCATAAACCAGTTCCATTGTCTCCCATACTGGACTGGGAGCTTAACAGCAACGTGTAATGTAACAGCGTAGATAGTAAAAGTCTTTCAAGGATAAGGGCAGTTTCGGATGCCAATGTAAGCTTTATGTCGTGACATGTCAATTTTGAAGTTAAACTTCTTTTCGGACGGGATGTAAATAGAAAAATCCTATAGAAAAGATGAAACGGAAATGCGTCACGAACTTCACACGACATATATATAAATATATGTGTGTATGTGTGGGACGCATGCGCTGTTCTTCCCGAAGAGCATGAAAGTTGGAGCGTAACTCGGCGAAGGCTGAAACGCTACGAGCGTCACAAGCGACCATATATATCTATACTAGCTGACCCAGCGAACTTCGTACCGCCCTAAAAAAATAGGGGTTGTCCAGCGGACAAAATTGTAAATCTAAACCATTCTCAGATCCCCTTGAACACACACAAAAAATTTCATCAAAATCGGTCCAGTCGTTTAAGAGAAGTTCAGTGACGTACACACTCACAGAAGAATTATATATATAAAGATATATATATACCTACATATATATGAGTGATGCGTGCACTGCATTCCCCTATGCCTTATGCACCGCCCAATGTTAGGTTATATAAGAAAAAAAATTTCACTTCTGTACCCTTAATACGAGTTTTACAATTACGAAAACTATGATAGTTTTCGTGAGCTCGCTCTCGTACTAAGGGTAATGATTTTACTGTTTTCGTTTCAATACAAATAAACAGTGTGTAAATTCTATCATTAAATCATTTGCGTCTTCCTAAATTTTAAGTATGTTTGGTTACTTTTCACCAAAATGGACATAGAAACATAATTTACAATTACGAAAACTATGAAAGTTTTCGTGAACTCGCACTCGTACTAAGGGTACTGATTTTACTGTTTTCGTTTCAATACAAATAAACGGTGTTTAAATTCTATCATTTGCGTCTTCTTAAATTTTAAGTATTTTTGGTTACTTATGGCGCTGCCTTGCAGCCTAAGAAGTACTAGAGAAAATTCGACACGGACAATGAAGACCGCGATAGCATAATGGTCATTGCATCCACCCGGATAGCGGAGGGTGCGGGTTCGAGTCGCGTCAGCTGTCAGGTCCACTTTAGATTTAAAAATCTATCAGTAATTTTCTTTAGATTTAAAAATCTATCAGTTAAATGCTTGAAAAACAAAAATATGATTGAAATTTAAATGTACCAAAAGTGCTATTAGAAATTTTAAACTAGTTTTGTCTCTCTTTTTAAGTAGTTATTTAGGTATAGGCAGGAAAACCTTGGTGAATGCAATATAGAAATAAATAATTCTTATAGGTAGATAGACTTTACGCAGCTAGGTAACTTGCACACTTAGCTTAGCATTAGGCAGACACCGCACCCGTAGGATAAGAGTGCAAAGATCCGGTCTACACACGACACGCTATACCAGGTACAGGTACGTACCTGGGCATATTTCCCCGCCCCCACGATAACGGCTGACTAGAGCCGAGGTCCGAGTCTCAGAGACGCCCTCTAGTTGAGCCGACCCCCTCAGGTGCTCGTGGTCTAGAGGCTTCAGACGAAGTGGAGACTCCCCCGTGGGAAGATGCCAGCCGCCTGGAATACCTCTAGAGGCATTCGCCAATTCTCGGCTTGAGGTCCCCTTAGGATCTTGCCGTCCCCAAACCCGGTAACGCTGTAAAGGTCATCTGCGACCAATAGCATACACACAATTAAAAAAAAACTACTGTAAAAGTTCTCTGGTCGTTCGAAAAGTAAAGTTTATTTCTATATTGATTGGATGAAAACCAGAATTGGGCCCCTGGACCGAGTGAATATTTTCTAAAACTTATTTTTAGATTAAAACAAATAGCAGATAAAAGCTTAAAATAATTATATAATAAACTCAACTCACGTCACAGGTGAAAATGTTTTTTCTGATTTTTGTCATAGATTAAGATTAATTTACAAAAGTAAGTACCCTTACCACGAACCAATATCGAATTCGAATAGTTTGCGAGTCCGAAATGTCATTGTCAAATGTGTACTGATTTTTAGTTCTCGTAACGTTCTTTGTGGCGCTGCTGTACAAGATTCAATACAAAATTTGACAATGACATTTCGCACTCGCAACCTATTCAAATTTTTTTTTTATTCGGTAATAGGTAAGCGCTTGACCATAATTCGCCTGATGGAAAGCAATATTATGGTCTACGATGGAGCGCGCTTACCAAATAAAAACCGGTTCACTCTTGCTTTGAAGACCGCTAGATTGTGTATGATTTCCAATTACAGAGCATAATGCGACTCAGTGCCGCACAATGCCCAATTATGCTGATGCTTAATTGAAACGTGAATTAGTTTTGAAATGCACCAGCAGAGAGCGCGTAGTTCAGTGTTGAAAAAAAAAGTCAATGTTTGTACCTTCATCCATACTTATATTTATTTTATAACAGTTTGAATGAACTTTGATTATTTAAAAAAAACTATTAAATGAAACGAAAGCTTTAATAATTTTCCAAAAATAAATAATATTACTAACGATAACATATAAATAAAACATTTCGATCAATGCCAACTTAAAGAAAAAACACTTGTTAATTTTCTGTCTCTAAGTTGGTACGATTGCACGCATCACACGAAAGCATCACTTTTGAGAGTGCTCAATTGTGCGAAGCGTTGCTGTAGTTGGAACACTCAACGTTACGCATTATGCCGCATAATGCGCTATAATGCTGTAATTGGAAAGCAACCTGTAGTTCTCGGGGAACAAGGGCTCAGGCAAAGAATTCCACAGTTTGGCAGTCTGTGGAATTTCAGAATTCGGTATTGGTTGTGCTAAGGTGTATGTTTGTAACTATTACGAGAGTGACAATGTAAACCATTTTCATTTATTTGTTTGATATTATAATTGTTTGTATGTTTATATAATTTGAAACTAAATCACGCAAATCATGCAGGCTTTTAGCGTAAGCGTATAGCGTATTATCAAATAATTGAAGAGGATTGTTTAAGTCTCCAACTAAAATAATAAAATAAAGTAAACACAAATGATTAATTATTAAAAGTACTCTCATTTTTTTATTGGCAATGACTAATCCAGCCATTGACGTACAAAAATAGTCATATACGTCAATTGCTAAAGCGTCATGTCTTTTGTACGAATAATTATATCCAATTATTTTAAACGATTTTAGTGATTAAATCTAATTCGAGTATGTTGTTCGTTTCCATTGCATCGCTTTATGCTTTTTACGCTTATATTTTAAGCATTTTCTCCACTGTTCCTGTCTGTCTGTCTGTCTGTCGCCAGGCTATGTCATAAACCGTGATACCTAGTTGAAATTTTCACAGATAATATATTTCTGTTGCCACTATAACATCAAATACTTTATCATCATCAGTCTATTAATGTCCCCACTGCTGGGGCACATGCCTTCCCTATGGATGGAAAAGGGAGATTGGGCCATGGCCCACCACGCGGGCCCAGTGCTGATTGGCGGGTGCTAACGACGACTGCAGATGCGGCCGGGACCAACGGCTTAACGTGCCTTCCGAAGCACGGAGGAACTCGAGATAGAGGATTTATGGTCACCCATCCAATGACTGACCACTGCGAAAGTTGCTAAATTTAACGATCGCAGCCGAACGCGCTAACCATCCGCGCCATCGAGCTCCTCATCAAATACTTACAACATTATAAAATTGACGACCTCCGTGGTCGACTCGAGAGGTCCCGGGTTCGAATCCCGGTGGGGGCAGATGTTTGTGTGATG